GTGAGGGGGAGGGACTCCCCTGAGACTCCAAGTGAAGGGCAGAGTATAAATCCAATCTCTTCTTCTTACTCAGTTTGCCGGCTGTGTGAGTGGAACCTGATTCCAGCAATTTCAGCAGACCACAAGGTTCATAGTGTAAGATTCGCTTCATTTAATATATTATTTTGGCAATCTTCGATGGTGTTTTCTACTAGTGGAATTTGTATATTTGGGACCAATGAATTCAGGCTGCTTCCGAGGGGTCCTCTGGTTTCTGATTTCTTCCGAAAGGCTTAAACTCTCGGGGCCAATGGGAGCGCAGCTGGACTCCAGGATGAAGAGCCGAAAGAGCAGCTCCCCTCCCCGGGACTTCCACTGCCCCCCCTGCCCCGTCTTCGCTGCATACTTGTGCGAGGGGCTTGGCCTGGCCATGGGGCTCCCCGCCCAAACTGCTTCTGGACATAATCGGGCCCCCTCCAGAACTATTTAAACGCACGTGGGATGCTTCGCCTCACCCGCGATCCACTGCAGCCAGTGCCCCTCCCACACCGCTGGAGAGACGAGGCTGCCCTCTGAAGTGCCCTCTCACCCCTTGGGGTCGTCCTGGTCTTCCTGCCTCGAGAGGGGGCCATCTGACTCTCTCCCGCCCTGTCCCCTTCTGGCAAGGGGTGAGATTGTTTCCCCCCGGGGTGCGGGGAGGGCATCGCTCTGTGCCTGGAATCCTCTAAAAAAAAACAACCAGCAAGGCACTTACCTGCACCCTGAGGAACCCGCACATCATCTGGTGGACCATGCAGCTGGGCTGCGCAGACAGCCGACAGCAAACGCTGCCGTAGAGGGGCAGCCAGAAGGAGCTCTCCTCTGCAAGACAGGAGGGAGGGGGCGGGGCGGGAGTGAGCATTAGGGCAGGACCCTGCTGGTAGGGCACAGAGCTGAGCAATGGGGGTGTCACGGGTGTGGAATGAGGATGAGCCGACAGAGCCTGCAGAAACCACAGCTGGCCCCTCTGGAGCAGCAGGGGAGGACAGCTGGCAAGTGCCTGCAACAGCAGTCTTCACACCTGGCCCAGATAAGAAGGAAGAACTGCAAGCTGGAAGCTCTCCTGACTCACCCCCACGTGTGACTCGTTTAAGGCAGCGACTGCGGCAAAACTTAGCAACCAGGCGACGCGAGGCCAGGCTACAAGGGAGATGCTCAGCCAGCCCAGAGTTCTAACAGAAGCCTGGCTGATCGTGCAGCTGCCTAATTGGTAGCACCATTTACCTCCACACTCTGGGCAGTACTCTTTGTGGAAACAACAAGTCATCTTTGTGCTGCTCGCATCCACTCCGGCTTGGCTCTTGCACCTAGACCTTCGGACCCCCTGGCTTTGGACTTGGCTCTGTGTTCCTGGCTCCTGACCCCGGCTTGGCTTTTTGGACGTTGAACTGTCTTTTTGGCTCCTCACCTTGGCCTGTTCTGGACTCCCTTTGACTGGTACCCCAGCCCGTGACAGGGGGCAGGCAGGCCTCCCGGAGAAGGAAGTCAGTGGGCGCAAAGACCCCCCCCACAGGCGAGGGCACTTGGGGTCTCCTTCTCAGACAAGTGGAAGCCAACCAGCAGGCCATATGGGGAAGGCTCCTTCGGGAAGAACCACTCGGCCCAGCGTCCATGCATTTCAACGACTGCTTGCTAAGGGGAGGGATCGTGGCGCGGTGCCAGAGCAGATGGTCCCAGGTTCAATCCCCGGCACCTTCTCTTAAAAGGACCAGGGAGTAGGTGATGGGAAAGATTAAAAGGTATGCATGAAATGTTAACCCATACACTAAAGTACAGCATGTAAATGAGGAAATACAGAGTTGGTCTATGACTTGTACAAAGTTCATATCTGTCACGGCTGCTGCTGAATCTGAGCACTTGGCCCCAGCAGAAGACCTAAGTACTGCTGGGGATGAACTCCCGGCTCCTGAAAACCCTGCACCTGACAGGACTGAAGCCACAGAAGCTGCTCCAGTAACAGCTGAAGCAGAACTACGCCGGATCGATACGCCCCCTGATTTGCCCCCACCGGTGTCCCGTTTGCGGGAACAACGCTGACGAGACATGGCATCCCAGCGGCGGGATGCACGGTAAGCGCTCTTTTAGCCATGAGTACTAGCGGGAGCCGGAACACAATCAGGGCGCACTAATTGCCAACAGCCTTACGGCTATTTAGCTCTCGCACCCACACCGACTAGTTGTGCTAGCAACTAGACATTCTGGACGAAGCTCTGCACCCCACCACTCGTGTTCCTGTTCCGGCTCCTCGTTTTTGACTTCTCGGCTCGTATGATTCTGCTCCTGACCTACACCTCGGACCTTCGACTCCCTGGCTTCTGACTTCTTTGGACTCTGGCTTTAACGACTACTCTAACGGTTGGTGATTTGGACTTGGTCTCTCGGTGTTTCTGCTTGCCCGGTTTTGACTTTGGACTGCCTTTGACCTATCTTGCTCTCGCCTGGCCTGGTACCGCGTTCGTGACACTCTTATGGATTGGAACTGGTTAAGGGACAGGAAGCAGAGTGTCGGAACAAACGGTACAGTTCTTACAACAAAAGGGAGAGAGAGCAGCGAGGCCCCCCCCCCCGGACCAGGACTGGGCCCAGTGACACCTGATTTGTTCTCAAATGCTTTGGGTTTGGGACTGAGTCGTGTAGCAGCAAAGGTCTGCCCATGATTAATGCTCCCTCTAAGCTGAGGAGTCTTGTGAGCAAAAATTCTACTTTGTGAGCTAGTGGCATTAAAGCTGTGAGCAGGAGATTTGGCTGCTGCGTAAATTAGTCTGCTCTGGAGTCCTCCTTCCTGAGCCAAGTCAAAAATGAGTGAGCCGGAGGCTAAAACACTGTGAGCTAGCTCACATTAACTCAGCTTAGAGGGAACACTGCCCATGATCCCAAATTAGCCCCCCCCCCGGTGGACTCAAGGGCTGCCAGCACGGCCCAGACCACTCGGGGATTCATGGCCCATCCGGTCTGTGGGGTCCAGCATCCTTTCCCAGACAAGGCACAGAGGCAAGGTCTTCCTTTCCTGATGCTGCCTCCTGGCACAGGGGCATTCACTCCAGCTGCGGAGGGTCCCATTTGGCCACCACGCCCAGGAGCCACTGAGGGGCGCCCTTCCCACTCTGGGCCGGGACGGCTTTCAGAAACACCCTCGCCTCTACTTCGGAGCTGTGGCAACAGGGAGACAGGCTGGCCTCCCTCGCAGGGGGGAAAGGGTTCATTGGCAGGAACTCATTACCATAATAGGCCACACCCAACAGCAGGAACTCATTAGGATATTAGGCCACGCCCTGACAGCACAGCTCATTAGCATATTAGCCACTTGGACAGGCTGGGGAAGGCACAGGGAGGCACTCCAATGCCTCCCCACTCCTTCCAGGGGGCCCCCCCGGCCCACCCGCCTCGGAGTCTCCGGGGGTGTTTCCGCTCTCCAGGCCTTCCCTCTGTAGCCACACACACAGAGGTTTTGGCTGTAGTGGGCGGGGCTAACTCTGAAGCCAGCCGGAACTCCGTTCCTGTGCGTTCCTGCCCAAAAATAGTCCTGGCCTGTTCAAGGCACCTCCCGCCCCCCCCTTCCCGCCCTCCCCTGAATACCGTGGCCAGCGATGACGAGGTCGTGGGTGCGGAAGGCGTCCTGCACGTCGGCCAGGCGGAGGGTGGTGGAGGCCAGCAGCTGGTACTTGGGCCCCCTGAAAACAGAGCAGAGGCAGAGTTGGGCGAGCGCTTGGGGCGGGGGGGGAGGAGAGGGGCAGTCGTGCTGTACAGAAGGAGACCAGCAGCAGGCCGGGTACTCACGCCACGCTGGGGGCCGGCAGCAAGAGGGGGCTGCTGCCTCCGTTGCTCACGGGGCTGCCCGGCACCCCTCCGTCCAGGGCTGTGCGGACCCGTTTCCCAGACGAGCGCCCCAGAGAGCTGCTCAGGCGACTGGCTAGCTTCTTCGGGGTGTTGCCAAGGGCCGAGTCCTCCTCCAGGCCCGCACTGTACAGCTCCACCTTCAGCTCAAAGTCAGGACCCGCCTCCGTGCTGGTGGTGGTGGGGGACGAAGACGACAACAGAGAGATCAGTCTTCTTCAGCAAGAAAACGGAAAACGCGCGCCCCCCCCCCCGGCTCAGCACTGGAGAGGAAGGGGGCTGGTGCCGTTTTGGAGGGCGGGGAGGGCAGGCAAGCCTCCGGGGGGGGGCAGCTTCACAAGCATCCCCCCCCACCGCAAAAGCATCCAGGCTCCCCTGGGGGAAGCGAACGTCTCAGCGGCTCCCAGGACCAGCCGCCGTGGAATCCTTCCGGATTACCTGTCAGAGGTGGGACCGGGAGGCACCCGTCTGAGGCGGCTCCGGCCCTACCTGGCGAGTAGGCCTCAGAAGGGTGGATGCGCCAATCGGCTCCTGGGCCTTTGGCCTGAGGGCTCCTGCCAGGTCCCACCTTTAAGGTCTACGCGGGAACCCGGGGGGGGGTGAGGTGAGGCCACCCAGAGGTCCAGCAACACGGGGGACGCTCCGCTCGGTTCTGCCCTTCCTGGGAGGTGGAGGCCCTGGTGCCCGGAGGCAGGACTGGGGCGGGCTAAGATTAAGAAGCTGAGGCTGCGGCCCAACAAGACTGGGATGCTCCTGGTGGGTAGAAGGGCTGGCCCGGGATTTGAGGTGTCACCCGCTCTGGATGGGGTCCCGCTCCCCTTGAAGGAGCAGGTCTCTAAGACGGGGGTTGACTGGAGTGGGTTGTAGGGACCCCTTTGCTCCAGTCTCTTGGCCCCTCTATGCTGGCTCTCGGTCTGTTCCCAGGCATGATTTAAAAGATCCGACCACGGCGGCACGTGCCCCGGTTGCACCTATATCAGATTACTGCAAGGTGCTCCATGTGAACCGCATTTGGAGACTTCAGATGCTCTCCGGATGTTGACTGGAGTGGGTTGTAGGGACCCCTTTGCTCCAGTCTCTTGGCCCCTCTATGCTGGCTCTCGATCTGTTCCCAGGCATGATTTAAGGTCCTCCTCAAATCCTTAAAATTGCCTGACTCTTCCAGGCCCTAAAGAGGCCAGGCTGGCTACAACGAGGGCCAGGGCCTTTTCCGTGGCGGCCCCTCACTGGTGGAAGGAGCTCCCGGAGGACATCAGGGCCCTGCGGGACCTCCTGCGGTTCCGCAGAGCCTGTAAAACGGAGCTCTTCCGCCAGGCTTTCAAGTAGGGGCTGCCATCTTAACACCCTGGCCCCTGGCCCTGGCATCAACATCACCACCACCACCAACCGGACAACGGAGGTGGCCATCCAAATGGTGGAAGAAAGAACCCGTTTGTGTGAATCACTCTTTCTTCACCCACAGAGTGATGGACATGTGGAACTCACCGCCACAGGAGGGGGCGGCGGCCACAAGCACGGACGGCTTCAAGTGGGAACTGGATAAAGACAGGGAGCAGAGGTCCCTCCGTGGCCCCTATGAGCCACAAGGCATAGATAGGAAATCTCGGCCTGGGGCAAGGGATGCTCTGTCTTCTTGGTGCCTGGGGGGGGGGGGGGAAAAGGGGGGGGGGGTTGGGGGGT